GTTTTACTGCTATAAAACCTATTTTCCCAAAAATTTTTGGGTTGGGTGCCCCCGAAATCACGGTTCCTGACGGCTCTCGGCAAGTGCACTACACGCCAGCATGCAAATCGGGGTTTCCGGGCGAGGCTATAAGGACGGAAAATAACTACAAACTTAGTCGTTTTAAAATTAATTTTTTTTCTTGAACGTCTCGGCGATTAAGCAAATTCGGAAGAACGCCACCTTGTCCAGAATTTTTTCTTCTATCGAATGAGCCATCTTTGATTAGCAATAAAATGACCCTCAAAAACGTCTCCTTGTCAGGTATCAAAACATGGCAAAAGCCGAAATAAAAAATGCTGCTTACCGCATCCTCTACACGTTTTATATTCCGCACGCCGTGGTACATCTTTCGTTGGGATTTTGTATCGGATTATAGCTCACCGTCATCGCGATCCCGCTACATATCTATTCGCTAGTGATCATTCTCCGAAAAGAATCGCTAGCGTTTTCGGTGAAATTTTTAATGGCCATGATCGCCATCCATCGAAAAGCCTCGGCCATTTTATGAAGCTATGGCCATGTGCTACCACCGGTTGGATCACCAGATTTCGTTCAAACGCTTTAAACATTTCCCTCGCTTTCACTTGACTGTAATTGTTAATTTAGGAAAAACTGCTGGAGTTACAACTCATGGTCTTGGAATCCCGATCCGACGGTCACAAATATCCTTGTTGTGTGCCTATATCAGATCGTATCCAGGTCGATGGCTTTTATGGAGCTCGGCCTATCTGTTAACCGGTATGCCAGGGAGCGATTGAGAGCGAAAGCGAGAGTGAGAGATAGAGATGTAGAGTCAGAGAGAGAGAGAGAGAGAGAGAGAGAGAGAGAGAGAGAGAGAGAAGAGTTAGAGAGAGAAAAATTGACTTTCCAGCTTCTTTGCCGTTTTCTTCGATGGACGTTACTATCGTAATGTGCAAAAATCCACGATCCCACTGTTCATCTTCTCGGTGTCGGTCTGGTTCATCATGTATTTCTCGAAACTCCACGGTTCCTGGGACCATCGAGGCGAGCCAGAGGACGTGAGTGTCGATTTTTGGCTACTCCGTGGGGATTATATAACTAAGGATTTGGAGCTGCGTCGGGGAAACAATTGGGACAACGAGTTCCAGGTTCGATTGAAAATACAGCCCCAGCTACAACAATTACAGTTTCACTTTTCGAACGCCCTTGAGCGGGGGTTATTCGAAGCGACGGTGTTCAGCATCACCGCTGACGTGCTCGTCTACATACGACTGAAAACAACTAACACTCTAAATAACAACAATCCTAACTTATAGACCTGTTGCTCTAGTAGTTCTCGAGTTATAGCAAAAACAAACTTTATTTTCCGTTTTTATGATGTTTTCGTGGGATTAGACCTCTTAAATGTAAAGTAAAAACGATTCGGCAGCCCTTCCTTACCTTAAGAAATTTTTTCCGGACTAAAATTGATTAAAAAAGGGCCGATTTAAGCGATTTTTACAACGCCCAATTACTCCAGATCTTAAAAAAAATTAGGGATTCGCAGCCGGAATTCGATGCAAACCGATGCAAACTCCAAAAAAAGCCGATAAAACTGTTAAGCATTTCGTGAAAAATACAGTGTTTTCGTGATAACTCAAGAACCACTGTAGCGATGGGGCTTTCGGCCAGGATTGTTGTTATTTAGGGCGCGATACACATCTGCTCCAAATTTGGGACCGATTGGATGTAACATGGCGAAATGGTTCGTATATACAAGATTCCAGAAACGACATCAGCCGGCTAATCGACAGAAATTTAGCGCGGAGCTTCGGCTGTCGATTTTGGTGCGTGTTTTCGTTTACCTCAAAGTGTCCTAGCCATATTTCCTTGATGACTATAAAGCGTCAATCGTAATGCCAAAAGTCGTTTTCCCGGTTCCATAATGATACCTTATAGGCCTTTACCACCCACTGCGTCCAAATAATCCCCACTTTGACCATAGAGCCTTGGTTTTTCTCCGGATTTCGATGGTTGTTATCGCACTACGTGACAATATACAACTATCACTGGACTACAGTTCAGGGCGTGGCGCAGGCCATCATGTCGTTAGTCACGTTATCACTTACAAGCTTCAAAATTTAGTATCGTTATCATTCTGCTGCTACGACCCGCTGACGATGAGAAAAAGACCCGGACGGTCAGAAAAATCTGATTTTCGCTGCGAATGAACTTCTCATTCGATAATACACATACAGGGTGTCACAAAAAACGACCCATCTGGCATTTCGCTGTATCACATCCAGTCGGCCTCAAATTTGGACCAGACGTGTAATCATACCCGAAATAACACCAATCCTAACTTTTAGCCCATTGCTAAAAAATTTTTTCGAAATCGCATGAAGCAAAAAATGCGAAAGATGCGGTTTGTGCTTCATACGTTGCTGCTCAGTGGTTGCAAGGCGCTTGAACTGCTCGAAATCGTGCTAATTACTCGGATTCCCGGGAAATATTGTTCCCGCTAAAAATACACTTTGGAAAGCCGCCATTTTATGACACGTCGGAATGTTGACACTTAAAAATAAACTTAAAACAACACTTTATGTCCCTTTTAGACGTCTTACAATAGCAATGGCGAAACAATTTGAAGAAAAGGTGCTGCCCATCACAGGTTGGTGGCCACCATAACTTTTACCTTGTTAAATCATTAGGCTCGAGCAACGGCATCGGTCGCCGGATCGCCGTACACTTTGCGGCTCGTGGCGCAAAGGTCACATTTACCGGCAGGAGTGCAGCTGCTCTAGAGGTGAGTTAAAGGGACGTGCTATTTTGATTCCGGTAGGGATTCTTCTACTATTCTGTAATTTTTTTTTTGCTTAGGAAGCGAAAAAAGAATGCGTGACAGCCTAGGCGTCCGAAAAGGCCATCCTCTCCCTCGTCGGAAGCCTGACCGAGGAATCCTTTATGAGCAAGCTCATCTCGGAAACCGTTTCCCATTTTGGAAAACTAGATTATATTGTAAGTTTCTATGCCGCATAGCAAGATTTGACTCATGTATTCTGTCGATTAACAACGCCGGCGTTCTCGACGTCGAGATGAGCGGAAAGTTGCCCGGCGTATTGACTCAGGACCTGGCCAGCCACGACTACATCTTTCAGATCAATGTGCGGTGGTAAGTAATTTTTGGAACTGCTTAACAATATTAAAATTTAATAAAATTTCAAGCTGCGCTCACGAGCCATTAGCACATTCAATTGTCGTAATAACCCGGGTGGCGCTGTTATGGGTAAATGTCCACCCCGCCGCGGTACATTGGAGAGTGGCGGAGACGCTGTTAGAGGTGGAAGTGACCGTGCCAGCCGTCTCGAGGTTAAACTGGAATGGAAGGGGTAGAGAGAGAGAGACAGAGAGAGAGAGAGGGAGAGAGAGAGAGAAAGAGAAAGAATGAGAGTGCCAGATGGGGAGAGAGAGCCAGTGAGTCGGTGCGAGAGAGTGGGAGAGAGACAGAGCGAGAGAGAGAGACAGAGCGAGAGAGAGAGCCGCTAGGAAAAAATCTAAAAACTCACCGAAATCTCTGCTTGCGCCGCACCACGTGTGCAAGTGTAGGTCCGCGAGCAGTCGGCACTGAAAAAAGTGCAAGGCTAAGAGTGTAATAAGTAATAAGAAGTACTAAGTAGTAAGAATGTAGTAATAAGAATGCTCACTTCACAACAATACCGCTGAAGGCAGCTGCGCTCGCGCTCGTCCTATCAATAGTGGGCGGGGTGGGGCAGTTGCAAACTAAAAAAAATAACTTTTAAGCATATTATCTTTTCTATGAACCTGGCGTCGCCTTCGTGGTTGTTGTTGTCGTTGGTGTCGTTGTAGTAGTGGTGGGACGTTTTGTCGTCGTGCCGGGATTTTGCATCCGGATACAAGCTTCGAGAGAAATCAAGCAAATCAACAGTATCAGTAGCTTCAGGCTTTGTCGCATACTAGGATTGAAGGCCAAGTTTAAGCTACAGAAATTCAGGTGAATTCGCGCCGTTTCTCGGAGGAATACTGTTCATGGTTGACGACACCTCGCGGTTGAAAGGGCTTTTTCAGGAATCCCCATCTGGTTCGAGGCAGCAGGTGAACAGAGCCCATAACCACTTCTTCCCGAAAAACTCGAACCTACCGTCCACTCCCAAGGGGCGCAATCTGGCTTTGGTAGGCAATCAGCCCACCAAAGCACGCCGATAGTTTCGTCGTGGGTCGGGATCTATGGCGGACAGTGTGGGATGGGCGGCAAGTTCAAAGGACAATTTTTGATGCCTAGATTCTTTCTGATGTGCGGCTTGTTTCTGGGCGTACCTGAGTTCGCCAAGCTGCTAAAGTAGGAAATAGTATGGTCCTCTCACTCTGCCATTCTCTCTCTCTCTCTCTCTCTCTTTCTCTCTCTTCCCCTGTATCTGTTCCTCTAGCACTTGCCGTTTTCGATATGTTCTGACCACTTAGATCCATTTTTTCAACGCGTAAATGCAAGCCAAAACTTGGGATTTATTTCGGAGTTTCGTTCAACGTGAACCCTTTTCCTTGTGTCCCAGAAAACATCCAATTATAGTAAGGACAGTTCAAGGAATGGGACGCATAGGTTCGTAAAGGATAAATATTAATATAAGTATCTGCAATTCACAATTTTCACCCAACAATTTTGAGGGCTGACACGTATCACAGAGCAGGCAATTTTTTCTAAGCTCATCCTCTGAAGCAGCCGACTTTGCTGATGACGGCAGTCGCGCCATTTGCGGTAAATGACCACCCAGCTGCTTCGCACTGGAGTGTCGCCGTCGCCGTGGGAGTACCATCGGTGTTGCCCAAGGTATCATCGTCAAACTATAGAAATATAACGAATTTCTTGAGCTTTGATAGCTAGCAAGCAACTTTACAGCTATTTCTCCATGATATGAGAAAAGCCATTTTTGTGCCTTTCTGATTTTTTGACCTTTTTCATTTTTTTTTTCAGCGACTTCATCCCACCGATTTCAGACCATGAGTAACACCAATCCGGACCTGTAACTGCATAGCTCTAGTAGTTCTTGAATTATGACAAAAAAACCTTTTATTTTCATTTCACATGAGGTTTCCGTGGAATTAGACACCGTAAACATTAAGTGAACATCTTTGGTATGCTTTCTTTACTTTAAGAAATTTTTCCCAGACTGACATTGATCAAACGAGCTTTGATTTAAGCGATTTTACCCAAGTTCTTAAGCTAAATTAGAGATTCGAAGCCGGAAGTTGGTGCAAATCTATGCAAAAACCAAAAGAGCCCAAAAAAAGGTTAGAAAAAGTATAAAACAGTCTTTTCGTTATAACTCTAGAACGACTGTAGCTATGGGGCTATAAGTCAGGATTGTTGTCATTTAGGGTCTGATACACCTCTGGTCCAAATTTGGGGCCAGTTGGATGTAACACGGCGAAATGCCGGATGGTTCTTTTTCTGGGACACCCTGTGAACGCGATTTTCGATGGGGACCGCCAAATGCAAAAGAAAAAAAAAGCCAAAATTACCGAGATGACGCTCGTAATTTCGGGGTCCGTAGCCGTGCACGTGTACGTCACCGAGCAGCCGTCAGCGCTAAAAAGTTTCTGGTGAAGGGGAAAGCTAATTTTTAAGAGACCTCTCGTTAATGTCCGTGAATGATGAGACTCCGTCTGTTGTAGTGTCCACCGTCGGCGTTGCGCCACAGTTACATGCTTAACGAAACGTTCACCTCCCAATCTTATTAAAACGATCCACGCTATGGCAGGGTCTGTTGGCATGCCGGCATGCCGGTCTGTCGGCAAGCATGGATGTGGCAGAAAAGGGCCTCACGATCCCATTGGATTGTTCGCTCATTTGTTTTGGATTCGCCGGCCGCGCAAAATGTCCGGGTTCGACCCCCGGCCGTTACGACCGTTTTTGCTTTTTCATATAAAGCTGGGAGTTTGCGGCCTCTTGAAAGGGATGCCCAACGTTCTCGGAGCTCAAAAAGCAAAAATCACATGTTGCGCGCGGGCGCTGAACCCGGGTCCCCGGTTTTGTAGGCCTGGATACTATCCATTAAGCCATAGTGGCAAGCCCTTGGCAGGGATCGGGACTCCACAAGAGGGAAAGGTGTCCGAATTCCGTGCGGCAATGGGCCGCCATTTCCGCACAACATCCGCGCGTCATTTGTATTGCCCGGAATCCATGACTATATATTTGCCACCAAAACCTTGGGTATCCCTTTAAGGCTCGGTTTTTGAAGAGAAAGGAAAGTCATCACTGTGGATTTTATGGGCTAGAAGGCCCTTTGGATGAAGCCGCTGGCTGTAGCGCGAAAGTAAGGGCCGGGCGAACTTTTTTTTGGTGACTTACTTGTTCCAGGGCCGGGAGTCGGCGTCGGCACGGTGCGTATACATGTGTCTACCGTATTCAGGAGAACGAATACTAGGCCGATGCATAGGAATTGGCGCATCTGAAAACACAGTTTATTTACATGTTAGATGGCCAGATTCCAAACCGTTTCAAGAAAACCATCATGCGTGGCGTGATTAAACTAATACGATATTATTGTACGTTCAGCTCATTAAAATCAGCACCGCTCGTATATTCAAGCCATTAAATTCTACCGCTGCAGCGCTCCGCTTAAAGCGTAATTGTTATAAATACGGCGATTAAAATCATATCCTAGATTCGGCTTGCTTAAAAATCAAAATGTCGAAACTGATAAGGTTCTTCATACTTTTATGATTCTTCATACAAATTCGTACTGTCGAAATTTCCTACTGTCCCAACTTCATAATGTCGAGATGATTCTGATCTGTCGAAGTGAGCCATAGTTTTCGATGGATAAAGATAGGACAAAGCAAGGACAAGCCATTATAATAACGGCGATTGGCACATCGGCACCAAAAGCACATTCGAGCAGAATGATGGCGCGCCCGGTGGGCGTGAGATGGAATGATTCCCGCTTCAAAAGGCGCAAGAACCGGGTGCAAAAACGTGAGCCTATCAAGTTTTCGCTCATCCCAACCGCCCTTCTGGCGGATTTACACTCCCTGGCACATTTGCTTTCTGATGCCAATTTTCCGCCGATTCTGCTATGTGGTGTCTTACTGTATTCCCGGTATGTGACTTTTTGGGTATTAATACCTTTAAAGGGTCAAAGAAAAGCTTGAAAGGTAGATCTTTGATAGGATTTGATAGCTTTTGAAATAGACTTTATGATCTATCAAGTTGTCACCTTCAATTAATTAGCTTAACCTTTAATTACCTTTATTTTTAATTATTCAATTAACAATTAAATAAATGCGATAAATGCCACAAATTATGTTTGCCATATGTTTCATGACTCTTTACGGTTTTTTAGCGTTCAGCTTTAAATTATTAGATCAGGTTTTAAAGTGATTGCTATTAAGCATTTCTGGACGTGAAAAGTATTGAAATGGCGCGTTTAAAGGTGTGTTCCCGTATTCTTTCTGTTATAGTATAGACGTGTTAATCAATAATTCGCGAAATTTATTCATAAAGGAGATATTTATGGATTGAGCAAAATTAGGGATATATTTTAACGATGGTATGGTGTTTTCCAGGGCATATTAATAATCACAGAAGCAGAACCCATAGGAAAGGCTTGAAAGACTTTTTCATATTTTAACAAGTTTAAAAAGCTAATAACGTTTCGTAAGACAAAGGCACAGAAAATAGTATACGTAAATGAGATTCAGGGCACAAGAGTGAATTTTTAAATTCTTTGAATTATAGATAAATTTTAGGCTAAAATTGTGACGCTAATGATTATTAGCACTTTAAGCACTTTAGCATTAACAGCACCGGTATAATAAGTAAGTTTAAGCTCCTCCGTTGAAGCATCCGACTTCAGCGATGACCCTGGTGGCTCCATTGGCAGATAGTGTCCAGCCCTGGGCCGTACATTGAAGCGTAACGGTGGCGGTGGGGGTGCCACTCACGGTACCGGAGGCGTCAAGGTCGAGCTAAAAAGAGACTTTGTATTTGCGCACTGGCTTTCATTTTTAAATACCTATCTTTCTTTCTGTCTCTCTCTCTCTCTCTTCCTCTCTCGCTCTCTCGCTGTCACTCCTTATCTATCGCACGTTCACGCTCTCGTTCTTCTCTATTGCACGTGCTATATCTTGCTAGCCCTCGCCTCGCTATTTCTCTCTCTCTCTCTCTCTCTCTCTCTCTCTCTCTCTCTCTCTCTCTCTCTCTCTCTCTCTCTCTCTCTCTCTCTCTTTCTCTTTCTCTTTCTCTCTCTCTCGCTCCCTTTTCTTGCCTCAATAATTTTGCAATTTCTTACCGAGATAGTACTCTGGAACTCTGGATCATCAGCCGTACAAGTGTAGGTCACCGAGCAGCCGTCAGCCCTAAAATCTCCAGTTTTTGTCTCACGCAAAACCGACGGTGCATCAACGTTTGTGAAAGGCGAAACACCATCCGATGTCGAATCCTCGATCGGTGTTGGGCCGCAATCGCATGCTAAATTCTGTTTCTTGGGCTCAATTTGGGTGACGAACTCGTTCCAGGGCTCGGTGTAGGTACTGTTCGGATACATGGGTCTACTTTATGCAGGAGCGCGAAAAGCGCTACATAAAGGAGAGTACTCCGCATTATGGAGTATCTGAAACTCATGGACAATTCATACATTAAATAGCGAGTCATAAATAAAATTGCAAAAATCAAATAAATGAAAACTTAAATTGCGAAAATTGGGGAAAACTAGAAAGTAAGCCAATTCGCATTTAATTCGCAGCTTTTTCAATTTTGTAGACTTTCTACCTTCTCAATCTTGTCAGATGCACGCCTGCAACCTTACAATCTTTAAATTTAAAAATAGCTTTGCTAGGGTTTTTGACGCGTCTCTTTTCAGGAATCCTTAAGTCATTAATTCCTATGAATCGATCCCCAAGGGTTTTGACGCGAACGCAAGTCTGACGCCGCAAAAATTCTGTGAATTCCATCTCACGAAAACAGAAATTCATTTCACAGCCCCTTTAAAACTCCTCGGAAAATTAGCTTTCCTGAAGTTTTGGGCTGCGGTTGACTTTACCACCCCCCCCCGCCAGCCGGAAGCTTTTGGCTATAACTTTTTTATTTTACATTATTGTAGGATCAAATTAAAACTCTTAGTATATTTTTCGACGGTCTATCGAATGGCATTGCAAAAATCCCGACAAAATAAGCGAAAATACCGAAAAATTTGAGACCCTTCGGCTGTGGGGGGGGGGGTGTGGGTAAAGTAAACTCTTACCAAATTTTGTGCTCCCAACTTGTCCCAATTATTTCTTGGAACCCGCCCAAAAATTTTCACGAGCCTCAAAGATCCAGATGGGATGCGGAGATAAGGGACGACCGGGATATTGCGGGATCCGGCCGTAGCCCCGAAGGGATAAAAAAAATTCGCCCGGAGGTCGTGCCTCCGGTTTTGCCCGCAGCTATGGGCAAATTAAGCACGCCTGGCTTATCCGGGAGTGATTAGAGATCGGCAGCTATGGGAAGAGTGAATGGGTGAGGTGGAGATTTTTGATGATTTTGAGGGTACAGAGAGGATAGCGGGGCAGGGGGGGTGATAAAATTAAGGGAACGTTTAGAGGTTTTTGATTCTTCGTGTAGGGTTTTGGTTACATCAATGCTAAAGCAGCCAAAAATTTTTAGCAGATTTGTTGACGTGCTATCAAAAACAATTAACAAATCTTAAAAACAACGAAAGACCGAAAATTCTCTCGTCTCCGATATTTTTGCTACCTTGTTCGCCTCTTAAAAATATAAAATTAGTTTGTTTTGAGCACAAGCTAACGTTCGGCGCAAAATTTTTAAGGTTATATCAAACCGTACCTGGAAAATTCCGCAATCATTCAATTATTGAAATTTTGGTATTTAACTGGAGTGGATAGTATGGACATTTTAGATTATTAATGAGCAGAAAACACTAAGAACAATAAACAAAAACTAATCAATAAAGAACTAGAATAGGGCTTTATAGGAACTACAAATATACCGAGTCCAATAAGTGCCGCTCCGCCCCGAGCAGCCATGCGCGGACTGGCGAGTTCGTGGTGGTGGTCGATGGGCGTTGAGGAACTGGCTGAAAACCCCTTGACCCAAACGAGCGGCTAAAAACCACACGCAAGCCCCGCTTCGACGTCACAGGTACCATTTCAGTACCCGAGGGAATGAATGAAAAGTCCAGATTTCCAATAGGCACGTAGCATAGTCAAAAAAGCCCCAAAGTCCATTAGCAACATGCGCTTGGAAGGGAGGATAGGCAAAAAGGGCCGGGCTAGAAAAGGCAGGCGAAGATTGAAAACCATCAACTACGACTAGATTCGATGGAATGAATAGCAAAACTAATAGGACACTTGGAAGATCAAGAAACAAGCGAAAGAGGAGGAGAAGAGGGATAGCCCAAATAAACTTTAAGATACATAAAAGACTCAAAAACATTTCTAAAATAAGCCTAACCAACTTTCCACGCTATATTTGAAAATACTGCCTAACCTATTTATGTTTTCTTTTTGGCAAAACCGCCAAGTACGCATGGGAAGGCTTGCCTTTAAGGACGACTTACCGCTCCACACCGTACTTTGTTTGCCCGTGCCCCTAAACGGTTGGTAAGCGAAAGCATGTACCTCTTCCACATAGTGTGTATCAACAGCTACGAGATTCAAACAAAAGCCACTTTTGGTTCGTATTATCATGTCTTATTTGTCCTTGGTTGCGTAAAATTAAGGGCACCATCTTTGTTCCCTGAGGGATTTTCCGACAGTAAATAGCTTTTTTGAGCACTTAAAGGGGCCGGAAAGGTACGACAATACATCCCTTATGGATTTGCCGCTCACGAACGCGCCGTTGCATTTAACGCGCCCTTACGTAATGTATTACCAAAGGGCTAAACTGAAAACTGAAAACTGAAAGGCTGAAATCCAGTGGAAAAGCGGAAAAAAGCTGTTTTGTTAAGGAATGTGTGGCTAGCAAAATCCATAGCTGTCGCTGTCGATGAGGGCGTAGTGATAATTTTAGTGTCTCCTGACTGAATTAATGAAGAGCTGAAAAGTTATCCCAAAGCGTAAAAAACACGGTGGAGTAGAAAGACCGGCAATGAAACGTGAAAGCGCTGTGAAACTGAACAGCTGAAGGCGCCGTGACGAATATCGAGTACACCGAATCTGGCGACCAGATCGTAGGTACGGTGGATGTCACTCGGACCTCCAGCTGCCGTGAGCAACCCTGACGCTGAATAATCATTGGGGGAGATCGGCCATAACACGGCAAGTTCGGAGCCCGAAAAACGGGGAGCTTCCACTGCTAAGCTCGTCCCATTTACATGGGGGGGACTTCCCGATGGGGAGGAGCCGAAAGCACTAGCGAGTCCGATTTGCTTCTAAATGAGGGCTTCATCGGGCTGTGAATTGGCTTGCTCTGTCGTGCCGATCGGGAGGAACGCTTTGCAAACTAGAGAACCAAAAAGCGGGAAAGGATTTAGGATGATGGCTGGGGCGAAGGGCGCATTGGGCGGGACAAATGAAGGGAGCATCCGAGTGTACCTTACTGAAGCATTTTAAAGGAATTATGAAGGCAACAATAATAGCAATAATCTATCTAAAAAGCATGATAGGTCGGTTTCTCGATTTCCTACGTATTACGTATACCATATGCGTATACCTACGTACATGCAACGCACCACCTGCTAATTGAATGGATTCAACGTGCTCCGCGATGAAAATACGCACGGGTGTGTTGAGTGCTGTTTCCAAGGGTAAAATCTATCTAAATTCCATAGCCAGGAAAACTCGTAGTCACGCCGACTCACTAACTTTTGACCTACCGTTGAACGTATCGCACGTACAGTAACGTACAGTAGCGTACATTAGCGTACAGTGATGTAAATTAACGTCCAAATTCGTCCGAATCCGGTTTTTTGTCGGGTTTTATCAGTTTTTCATCGGACGCGATAAGCTCGTTTTTCGGGGAAGGCGGAGGTCAATTTCAACAATTTCTTTTTTTTTCAATTTAATTCCTATGCTTTCGTTGTAGCTTTTTATTTATTAAAAAAATCCACAGTTTCCATGCCAAAAAAGAAACAGCTGGTCGAGGTGCTGTAAAGCAATGGGTATTTAGCGCATCGTGGGGGATCCGGTTTTGCTCAAGAGGAGAAGAGGAGGAGGTCATTATTCCGCTCTTGCTCAGGATTCCTCACCCAATGCCGGTGAAGCGAGCCGGTAAGGGTTCAGTTTCACTGATATTTAGGTTGCAAAAAACCTGGCTCGATCTTGTTTTACCGATTAGGTTAGATTTGTTTAGCTTATTATCTTATGCGGATCCAATTTCCAGATTTTCATGGTTGATTTTTTACCAGATTAGGGCTTAGGGTCATCGTTTACGAGGTTCGACAACTTCAAAAAGTTCACCTAGTTAAAAAGGCAAAAAAATTCATAACCGTCTATCCGCGTGGTCTCCTGCTCTTTGAAGGGGACGAACAGCGAAAAAAGCGAGCTTTTCCCATTTTAAATGCTGACGACAGCTACCTGGACCGCGACACGCAACGCTAAGGCCCGGCGAAGCGCGTTACTCGTCGCGGCACCCGGTTTGTTGCAATCGCGCGGATAATTTCCAACGGATCTGGATGCCATATTTTGCCAATTTTTTGAAAGGGCAAGCAAATATTTAACAATAAATCATGAAAAAGCTCTTTATTCTCCATTTCACCCAAGATACATCCGAATGAAAATGTAGATAAGTTCAAGTACATTTAAAATGCAGAATGTTCAGGAAGCGACTCGTATTGGCGTTGGCGTGGCGAAATGTAGCATTTTTGGGGATTTGACTAATCGAAATTTGTCCCTAGAAACCATCGAAAAAGGCAAACAAAATCAGGAAGTAAAGCATCCGACTTCAGTAATAATCCTGGTCGCTCCATTGGCCGTCTTTTGCCACATGCCGTCGGAATTGCAGGTTACAGTATCCTGGACGGTATCGAAGCCACTTTTCGTTCCGGCATCGTCATTGTTGAACTAGAAAGGCCAGTACTTAAGAAAGAGAGCAAGAGAGAGCAAGAGAGAGAATGAGAGAGAAAGACAGAGAGAGAGAGAGAGAGAAAGAGAGAAAGAGAGAGAGAAATGGAGGGAGGAAGAGAGAGAGAGAGAGCGGGTGGAAGAGACAAGGAGAGAAAGAGAGAGAGAGAGACAGAGAGAGAGGGAGAGAGACAGAGAGAGAGAGAGAGGGAGAGAGAGAGAGAGAGAGAGACAGAGAGCTAGAGAGAGAGAGCTAGAGCTAAAAACACGAGAAAACTTACCGAAATGACGACCTGCGCCCCATCCGTTGTGGAATCACAAGTAAACGTGCGCACAGAGCAGCCACTTGCGTCAGTTCTGATTGTTGAATAATAAAGATATATTTCCGATTTTTACGTAATGACATCCGATGTCGGCTCAACGGTACCATCCTCCGTTAAATCGACAGTAATCAACGATCTGTCACAGGTTGCACAAACTAGGGATGGATCAAAATGTAAAAATTGTGAAAGACACCTACGATTAGTGGGATCTGTTGTGGTCGTTGTGGTGGTGGTAGCTAAAAGTAAATTTGTTGGAGTCTGGGGAAGAAATGGTGATTCGGACGTTAAAGATTCGAAGCAAAATGCATCGTGCCGTTGAATTCGGCCTCGAGATTCCCCATAAACTAACCGGTAGTCGTGGTTGTTGTCGTTGTCTAAAAAAGGATGCTTTAGAAGGTGTATTACGTCGAAATTACATAGTAGCAAAAAACGTACGGCTGTCGATGAGGGTACGGTACGAATACAGGGGAGCACCACATGGACGAGCAGCGGGAGCAGACCCGCGGTGAGCAGCACCTTGGTCATTGAAAAAACCGCAGAATCGTTGCTATGTGCGGTTTATACAAAGATTTCTAAAAATTCACTGAAAATATTCCGAAAATGAGGGTCAAAAATTCGTGAGACGAAAGATAGTCTAAAAAAGTAGAAGATCGAGGCGCAAAATACAGGATATCAGATTCAGAATAGGTCGACTATGATTTAAACGCTTAAAAAACACGTGTTGGTAAGATTTAAAGGCGGAGAAAAGGATTTCGTGCAGCGAGAAAGGAAAAAGTTGGCTGAGAACTTGGGAATCCGATATATTGTATGGCTCGCGCGACTGTAATCCGTTATTTTTGATGATCAACATTTAGCTCAGAATCTGGAAACAATAATAAAACAGCATGTACATTGCCACCAGCCCCGCAAAATTTATGAAAATTTATGAGAAAATTCGAATGCGGCAAGAATGGAGAGGGTGAAGATGACCGATCCGGCCCTTTTCCGACACCCGAGACCGGTCACTCGGAGCCCGAGCCCGTGAGCTCAATTTGCCCAATTGAGCCCCAGGGCGCTGGTGGCTCAACCCCTAACCCCCATCCTTCGGCGTTTCGACCAGGCGTTGGGAAACCGCGAAATCGTGGCTAATTTTTTGGGGTTGGCAACTACGGGATTTTCCGGGTTGGCAACCGTTCAGGGAGGTTTTTTGAAGTCATGGAGAAAAGTTCAAAATTGAGCTTACCGGTCCTAAAGGAACTAGGATGGGTAAGACATCACGATGAAAGCCTACAATAATGTAGAATAAAAAAATTAGAGCCAAAAGCTGCTTTTTGGTTTCATTTTTGGTAGAGCAGGTGGGTTTGAGAGCAAGGCTAAAACCTCGTATTTATTGACCCTAGATTATCACCGCAGCCGCCACACGCAACGCATGCTCAAATCGTCGCGTTAGGGCTGGAGCACCAGATTACGCTATGAAAGGTAGATCGGCCCGTTGCGTCTCGCGGCAAAATTATTTTTAAGGTAAAATCCATATTTTCCGGATAGTTTTTTTAAAAACCAAAGCAAAATATGGATGGTATGCTTCGAACAGTATATTTTGCAGTCATTCGTAGCTTTCGAGGCCTAGCGTATAAAAGGGTAGAGCCCCCACCCTTACCAACGCCTTTATCAAGTTCCGAAAACTCTGAAATAATCAAATTTAGAATTTTAAGCTGATTCTGATCTGACGAACGTAGTGTTATGTGAACAGCACGCTGAAATGCCAGACAAAATTTATGAGGCGCCAGAATTCATGCTCCTCTCCATTTTCCGAGGCTCCTCCCGAACCTCCCGAAAAACCTAATGGACACCGGCCCTTCAAAAGGGGGGAGGCTACTTAAAATCCGTGAAGCTCGAAAGGGTGGTGCTAATCAGATCCGAATAAGGGGACAGGTTCCGCCAACATCCCTCTCTGGCGCCGGCAACCCATCATAGATTATGGACTCACACGCGCGTGCCTGGGGGCTAATAGGTGCACTCACTTTGGCAACATGGCATGAGAATTGAACCTAAAGTACCTAGGTCCTAGAGTGTTCATTGGGAGCTGGGGAAGACTGTAGGAAGCAAATGACCCTGATGAAAGTTGTTGATGGCTATAGCCACGAAAAAGTCAGGGCTGAAAAATGAAAGAAAGAAAAATTCTATCCACGTAATGCGTGACGAAGATTATCTACAGTGAGCCCCAAGAGAGTATAGGGATCAATTTAAGGCGTAGAAGCTAGGTATAAATAGGCAAGTTGAAGCGAGCACTAGGATGTGCTGTACTTACTGCTCGTCCGACCTGATCGCGCACGGCGGGCTACGGGGAGCCCCACAACGGAAATCCCCGGATTTTTCCACACTCTAGACAGCGGGGGGTTTTTTGAGGATTCCCACGCCCTCATCAAACAGACTCCACTCTCCTTTTCAAGATTTGTGCTATTTCGTGCGCGTATCGGCCCTAGCCATACCCTTGAAAAATCGGTTCTGAAATATTCAGAGGTCGGAAAATCAAGGGGTGGGGTCAAGCTGAAAAGCAATCGGGAAGTTGTGTGGAAGCTAAGGGACTAGCGTCATCTCTGAAGATCAAAACAGGACTGAAAATGCACCACATATTGAAGGTGATGAAACCGGTAGCAAATGTGGTACTAAATTTTTATCAACTTCATTTTAACATCGAAAAGAGCTTATTTTCAAAACTCTGATAGGTGTGCAGTCGTGTCATGACCATTGCGCACCTAAAGATAACCAGTGGAAAAAAACTGCTTCGCGGCCCTTTTCCCTGGACCCCGTCTAGGAATCATGAATTCCCTTTCCTTTTATTGAAGCCCGCCGGCGCAAGAGCCTGACTCAAGGAACCCTTTTTTGGCCTGCGGCGCCAGAACCAGCTTCGCGCTAAAAACTTTTGCCTGCGGCGCTAGCTACTGATTTTTCACCCGGATTTAGCCTGTGGCGCGAAAGCGTAAGTTAAGCCCGTTTTCTTTGGCCTGCGGCGCCAGAGCCAGCACTGCGCTAGAATCTTTGAGCCTGCGGCGCTAGTTACTGGTTTTTCTCCAGGGTCTGGCCTGCGGCGCGAGAGCCTAGGCCAAGGACCCATCGTTGGCCTGCGGCGCCAGAGCCTGGGTTAAGTACCTTTTCTTTGGCATGTGGCGCTAGAGCGAGGGCAAGACCTAAAACTCGCACACCGAGAGCCTAGAAATATAAATTGTGTTGTTGAACTACCAAAAAGCAAAAAGTTAAATTCGGCGCGGATTCGAACCCGGATCGCGCGCTGGGATCCGGTCGAGGATGTTGATGATTGGTATGGTGATGGTCAGAAGGATAAAGGCAAGTTGCAAATATTTTGAGACAACGTTGGTAGTGAGAGTCGAACGCTAGCCGTATACCCTTGAATTAAAAAAATTTGGGTAATTCGGTTGACCTAGTACCTCTCGATAGTCATCCCAAGCCTCAAAAAGCATCACCACTTCTGGGCAGCTGCATGCAAATCCGTTACGTAGAGATTTAGTAAGAAATCCGAGCCGTTTTTCTGGCAAAACGGCCGAAATTTTTTTAAAAATTTAAAATTAATTTAAAAAAGACATTTAAAAATACACATAAACATGGTTTTGTTAGTAATCAGTACAAAAAGTACAAAAATAAAAATGGTACCCAACTCCGTGTTGCATTGATATTGATAAAACCGGCCAGCTCCGTCGTATATAGAGGCGACAGAATATGGGATCAGAAATAGGTGCGGAACACCCCTGATTTTACGCCGTATAACAATTAGGACTAGCAAAAGGAAGCCAACGATACATTGAAGAATCCCAAGCTAAAAAAATCAAAGAGACCCCGAAATGCCAAAAATTGAATTGCGGCCGGAAATTCGGAGCCCTGTACGTCGGAGGCCTCTGTACGCCCAGGTGCGCGGGAAGCTCGCAAATTTGAAATTGCCTGTTGTCACCTCCAAATCCCGTTCTCGGCTGTTTCTGGGCCAAATTTGATGATTAGAACACCAAAACTATTTAAAATTGAGTGAGGATTTCAAAAACGAGCTCAGAATCCCCGAATTATATTGTTTTCACAAAGAAAGCGGGCAAAAACGACTTCGCGCAAAAATTAGAAGGGTGAGGCTCACGTCCCGAAGCACCCGCTGGCAATTTCAAAGAGTCCTCCCAAAAGGGCTTTTATTTGGCAGTTCGGAGCCCCTTTAAAGTGCCGCGGCGTTGGCACAAACCGCAAAAAGTCCAATCGTACTCACCACTGGAGAAGCGGGGCAACAATCTCGTCGTATTCCCGGTTCGAAATGTCGTTTTTGACCTGTTCGTATTTTTCCTGGGGGATCGGTCTTTAATCCTTCTCAAAGCCGTAACGGAATGACATCTAACGCGGATCAGCTAATAAGCTACAGTATGGCTCTAATTTTTTTTTTTTTTTTTTTTTTTTTTTTGGGGGGGGTGGTTTGGGGGCCGTTTTGAGGGCTTTCCCGTTTTCCCAATTTCCTTCCCCCCCCTCCCCCGGGGGGGGTGGCCCCCTCCCTTTCCGTTTTGGTTTTTGAATTCTATTAAAAAAAAAATAAAAAAAAAAAGATTTTTTTTTTTTTTTTTGTTGGGGGGGGGGATTTAAAAATAGAAAAAAAAAAAAATAATAATTTTTTTCTTTTTGCTTTCGGGGTTGTGGGTTTTTTTTTTTTTTTTTGTTTTCTTTTTTTTTTTTCTCCCCTCCCCGCCCGCACGGGAGGGGGTTTTTTGGGGGGGGGGGTCGAATTTTGTGGGTTTTTTGTTTTTTTTTTTTTATTTAAAAAATACAGGGGGGGGTTTTTTTTTTGGGTTTTTTTTTTTTTTTTTTTTTTTTGGGATGGGGGTGTTTTTGGGGTTTTTTTTTTAAAAATTATTTATTTAATTTTATTAATAAGAAGGGGGTGTATTTGATATAAAAGTAAGGGAAATAGGGGGTGGTAAAAAAAAAAAAGACGGTTTTGTTGGGGGGGGGGTTTGGGAAGGAGAAGATGGCGACGGGCCGGGGCCTTGGGGTGGGGGGGGGGCGCCCGGCCCCCCCCCCGCGCGGGGGTGCCCAAAAAAAGGCAGGCGCCCCCCGGGCGGGCCGAGTAAAAAAAAGGAGGGAAGGGACCGGCCGAGCCCGGGGAATAGGAAAAGAGAAGGAAGCAAAGGCCCCCGCTCCGGAGAAAAAAAAGAGAAGGGGGGATCCCGCGCGGGACCACGCGACCGGAATTTAGAGAGAGAAGGGAAGGAAAAAAAGGCCGGGGGGGAAGGGGGAAAAAAAAAAGAAGAATCCAAACCCCCGATCTAGAAAACGGAAAAAAAAAACGAGGGTGGCCCCGGGGAATAGTGAAAAAAAAAAAAAAAAAAAAAAAAGCCACAGAAAAAATAAAAAAAGGAGAGGGAAAATTCCGGGGAGGAGGGTTTTGAAAAAAAAAAAGGGGGAAGATTTTTCCACCGGGTGGGGGGGGAAAATAGGGGAGGGGAGGGCTGCCCCCTGGGGGAAAGTTAATAAGAAAAAAACGACCCCCAAGGAATCGAGAAAAA